GAGAATAGGAAAGGTGAAAATCCACAGAACCCTCCGGGGTGGAGAAATCTTTGTTTGCTAGAGTCTCCCAGGATGTAAAATGCGCTCACTGGTGAAAATTCATCTTTATGCCATGAGTGACACGGAAACTAACCCCATAGAGATATTCGGTAGGACTGAAGAGCCCTCTGCTGGCCATTGAGGTAAACTATCGCATATAACTTCCGAAAAGTTCAATTATGAATTAATTACATTTAATTGTCCATGACCTCAAACTATCTGTGGGTAATTTAAGCGAAGCCTTCTCATCACTAGATGAAAATTAAGAGAGCAAAGGATACCATTTGTCATTAGCAAATTGGCAGAGATTTTTTATTGCTGACACTTGCAGAGGAGAGGCGTGGGGCACGTGTGTCGCTGCAGCGTGTGCACAGACAGCCTGCAGGTCAGCGCACCTGCACGCGTGAAGACGGGAGGCGTGTACAGGTCCTCAGCCCACAGAGGACGATGGGCCCCGAGGTGTCTGGTTAAGAAGACAGAGGGAAACTGTGCAGACGTTCAAAAGCAAGTGTTAAAGTCGGGGTGGAGAAAGGACCGTGCAGGAACCACGGGGCGGGAGCAGCCGGCCCCTTAGCACACACGCGGCGGTCCAGAGGGCCTGTGGGGGAACAGGGAGTGTTCACCCATGGATTCTGGCTGCGTCGAGGGAGGAAGGGAGCTGTCTGTGGCAGCCTGTCCGTTCTGAGACTCCCAGTGATGAGCAGGACCTTTGCCGTGGCCTCTGGAGAAGCCCCTGCAGGTGCACAGCTCCTGTCTCGCCTGCTCAGGGACCTGCGGTAGCAGCCTCCCTGTCGGCTCCCCCAGACATGTGTGCTACAAGGAAGCGGAGCCCTTCTTGCCCCAGGGTCACCCTCCCCGCCCCTTCCTCTTCCTCTGCGCAGCCCTCCTGCCCGGAACACACCCGCCTCGCCCACAGTGCCCTCCCCCAGGCTTGCTGCCGGCCCACCTTTCTGTGGGCACTGTCCTGTCTGCCCTGTCTCTGACCTGTCCACACCTTAGCTGCCTGTCCCCCAGCTCCTGTCCCCTCACCTCGTGCCAAGGCCACCATGACTGTCTCATGACCAAGCCCTCCGGCCAGCCCCGGCCGCTCCTGCCCTGCCCCCTCTGTCTCCTGGCTCTGAGGCCAGCTCGCCCTTCCATGGCCCCTGTTCCCCACAGCCTGGAGCTGCGACCTCCTCCAGTGTCTTCCCTGTGGAGTCCCAGCTTCGTCTCTGCAACCCTCATCCCGCCTCCGCTCCCCTAGGATCCCTTCTACCCATTCTGCTGGCTTCCACTGCCCCTCTGGCCACTCCCTGGACCCGCTGTCCTCTGCCTGCCCGGCTGCCCTGAGCTTCCCGTGGCCCAGACTGGCCTCGTCGTTCCATGCCCTGGTCCCGTGTGGGTCCACTCCCCTCCCAGCCTCCAGGTCTGGTCCCGTGTGGGTCCACTCTCCTCCCAGCCTCCAGGCAGCCAGCACCAGGCCCCCCTCACCCACTGCATCGGCCCATGCCAAGTCTCCCTCTCCTCCCCTGCCTCAGAAGCCTGCCCACTGCCCCCTGCCTCCAACCTCGCCGCTCACCAAGCCCACTGCCCGCAGCGCCCACCCCGGCCACCCCTGCCTCCAACCTCCACTCACCAAGCCCGCTGCCCACAGCGCCCACCCCGGCCACCCCTGCCTTCAGCCTCCACTCACCAAGCCCGCTGCCCACAGTGCCCACCCCGGCCACCCCTGCCGGTGCTTCATGCTCTCACTCTCCATTGGGTTTGTCCGCAATGCTAAGTCCCCCAGCTCTCCCCAGCATGGGTAAGGCCTTCTGTGACCCCTTCCAGAAGACCCCAAGAGCCCCCATTCCACGTGTGGCGGCTCCTCCCTGCCCCCAGGCTGTGCGGCCTCGGGAGCCCCCCGAGGTTGTGACCCTGTCTGCAGTTTGCATCCCTCACCCCGCCTCCTGCCTCTGCCGATGTCGGTGCCCTTGGGCCACTCCCACCTCTGCCCTCCGCCGTCAGAGAGGGCTCCCGAGGTTGGGGCCTGCTCCGTCGATCTCTGTGACCCCAGCACCTGCCACCCTGGGCCCTGGAGGACACGACAGTGTCTCTGCGTTCTCCCTGCAGAGGTGACAGATGACAGAGAGAGGAGGACGCGGACAAGGGTGGGATGCGTGGGAAGAGGCATCTGGTCTCCTGCAGCCACACAGCAGGTGCGGGCAGGCGGGCAGCCCCAGGCTCAGCCCTGGCTCCAGCACTCCTGTGCCTCAGTGACTCATCCAGGAAAGGGGGGGACGCCGTGGAGGTGCTGGGCACCCCGTTGGGCATGTGGCCAGTGAGGACACAGGGGCGTCGTGGGTGTTAATGCACTTTGCTGGCGGCCATCGGATTTATTGTCATCCCCATCAGATGGCCCTTTGTGTCTTTCTGATAAGAATTCCAAACCACGTCACCCCAGAGTCCCCCCGCCTCCCCAGTGCCCGTGAGCCCCAGAGCAGGTGAGCATCCCGGGAAAAGAGTGCGTCACAGGTATGTGGGTTGGAAAACGCGGGAAGTGTGGCATCCCCCCACTGGGTCCAAAGGAGCATGGAGTTAAAGGAACTTCACGCGCACAGCCAGTGGAGCGGTGTGGCCGAGTTTCAAAGTAGCTCTCAGCGAGGCGCCAGAAGTAAGACTTTTGGTCTCCAGGTGACGCCAAGTTCGGAGGACTCCTGCGTTTCAAGGCAGTCTGTGCAGCTTTGATAGAAGCCGACAGAGCAAGCGCGCGGCGGTGGGCACTCCCGCCCGCGGCTCCCATCGGGAGGAGCTGCTGGAGAGGCTCGCAGCGCCCGGATGGGAGCCGCGGAAAGTCCCTTGCTGGCCGAGTGGACTCAGGGCAGGGACGGTCTGCTCTGCGGCGGGGACACCGTTCGCACTGAGACAAGAAGCGGCTGTTCACGAGGACGTGGTTCTTCCACGGGGCGGTTGAACCTACGAGAGACTGGAAAGAGGAAGGTTTTGCCTCTGTTACTATAAACGGCCTTTTCCGTAAGAAACTGGAAGCCTGTTTCAAGCAGCTTCTCATTTTCATGTTTGCTCTTGGGGCTGGGAAGAGGAAGGCTTTGATGTAAAAGAGCTTTCAGGGAGCGGTGGCTGGTCGGAGCCACAGACGGTGGAGCTCACGCCACAGGGCTGAGACGGGGGAGGAGCCACGCGGTGGGAGGAGCCCAGGAGGCCCAGTGCGCAGGCATCAGCGTGGGGCTGAGGCACGGGGACACCCGCGTCTGTGGGGGGTGAGACGGGTCACACTGGAGCTGGCAGGGGGCAGGAGTGCAGGATGCAGGGGAGAGGCCTGTGTGGGATTCAGAAGCTTCTAGAAGGCAGGCACCACGCCGTGAGGCTGTGGCACTGCAGAAGATGTGGTGCTGGGCATCGTCAGCACCAGAAGCCGCCTGGAGCCCCCAGGCTGCGGTGGGGGTGCGCAGAGAAGCAGGAATGAGGTCACTGTCGAGACTCGGCTGTGCGTAGCTAAGGGAGGACGCCATGGAGAGCCACGCGGTGGGGCAGCCGTGTCTGACCTTGGGGTGGTGGTGTCTGACCTTGGGGCGGGGGTGTCTGACCTTGGGGCAGCAGTGTCAACCTTGGCTGTGCCTCAGCTTCCCCGGGGAGCTCTGGAAACCCCTGGTGTCTGCACAGCACCCCAGTTACGTGGGAACCTCAGGGCCGGGGCAGCGCCGCCTTTCAGAGCTCCCTGGCGAGTCCGTGAGAACCGCCGAGCTGTCAGGAGTGAAAGAGGCTGCCCTGCCTGCCGCGGTCTCCTTTCTGCGCAGTGCAAGCGTGCGGTGTTGCCGGCACCGCCCGGCACCAGCTCCCTTAGGCGGGGATGCCGTTGGCCGTGGTTTCTGGCAGGACTCACACCCCGTGCCTGTCGGTGTCTTCAGTGCCCCGGCAGCAGGCAGATGGGCCCAGGGCACAGCACGGAGCCCTCCCCACAACCCCTCCCACACTTCCCCCGGCGTCCCTGTCGTGCCCATCTTTCTGCCGGACGGTGACCTCAGTCTGTGGTTCATACGTGACCTTGCTCGGGGACGCGGGAAAACCAGCACCACGTTGCTTGCCACACAGAGAGCTGCTTGTATTCAACAAAAAATCAGAGGGGCGCAAGAGAGCGGGCGGGCGGGAGCCCCTCTGTCTGGTGGCATCGGTCCCTCCTCCATGGAGAAGGGACCACTCACCTGGCTTGCGGTTCCCCTCTCACCTGGGTGACTGGAGATTTGAATCCACCACCGGGCAGCATCAGCCCCAGCCAGGACCCCTGTGAAGTGGCAGCCCAGTCAGAGGGCCGTAGCACCGGGCAGCACAGAGAGAAGGCGCGGTTGCCACGAGGAGGGCAGGACCCACTGCGTGCCTGGCAGGCGCAGGTGCATCTATTTCCGCCGCACCTCTCTGAGCTTCGTCTTTTTCTCTAATGATCTGAATCCAGGGAGGAGGCAGTATCTACCCAGACTCTGGTACAGGGGAAAAAACTCAGAGGCCAGGCCAAACGCAGGGGGACCAGGCAGGTGGGCGGTGCCCAGTGTGACCTAGGGGACACCAGGAAGGAAGAGAACAAGGCCTTAGGGTTCAGAAGATCAGGATTTGGGCTGTAACCCGGCTACTTGCTCCCCCTGTGTCTTGTCTGTGAAGCACGAGTGGGGGGGACCACATGGGTGGGGGGGGCCACGTGGATGGGGGGACCACGTGTGTGCCCTGCTGCCCAGCATCACCCTGTCTTTGAGTCCTGCTTCTGCCACTTGGCAGCACTGCTGTCACTACGTCTTCCAGCCTCAGTTTCCCCATCTGTAAGCAGGGCTGGTGACAACATGAGGACACAGGAATTATCACAGGACTGGGCACATGGTGGCTCTGACCCCATGAGATGCTGTGTGTGACGCGTGTCACCACCGCCTGGCACATGCCTGCTCACTCACCAGAGTCCAGGGCTCCCTCTTGTTGTCAGGCCACACGGCCTCGGGGACTGGGATTCCCAGGGGGGCTTCCTCATCCTTAAACTCTGGCTCTGAGTCTATACAGTGACACAGGCCCAGCAGAGCGTGGCTGGTGCTGTCTCCCCCGGGCTCCTGCCTGTGGGAGCCGTGCACACAGCCAGCCCAGGTGTTGGAGGGTCAAGTTCATCGGTGTCCACTGCTGTCCATGAAGGTGCCGTCTAGGCGGCCAGCCACTTGGCCCCCAACAGCCGAGATGTGGCACAGCGGCCCCAGAGCTGTGCCCGTCCCGGGGTGGGTGCCCGTCTTTGTCGCACGTTGAGCCTCTGCCACCGCGATGTTGTCAGACATACAAAAATAGGAGAGGACATTACGCGGCCCGATGAGGCTGACACAGCTTTCATCCGTCCCAGTTCACACAAAGCACAGACGGCTGCAGAAATGCCTGAACTTAGCTGTGGTGGCAGCGCTTTGAAGGGATTGTTGGGTGTGTGACAATGACTCGCGAGCCGCAGCAAGTCCCGGCCCAGCTCTGCCACGGAGCCCTGCAGGAGGGGCTTCAGAGCCGCCGCCTAGGGGGAGCCTCAGCCACAAAGCGCAGCCTGGGGGCCTCGGGTGGGAAGGGCCCTCCCCGTGGGGAGCTGTCCCCGATGCACCCGACAGCCACGGGCAGGCTGAGGAAAACCTGTGGCCCGGGCCCCACGCATTTTCAGCAGACAGCAGCCAAATTGAGCGGAGGCAGAACACACGTCCCGCCGGTCAGGACAGGCCTGCAGGGTGGAGGGGAGGCCGAGGCCCTGTGTCCCACGCAGCAGGGCAGGTCCGGAGCCGCAGGTGCAGGGGTGCACCATTGCCAGGGCCGGAGGACGGCAGCACTGGCCAAGTGCTGTGCACAGCCGAGCGGGACTCGCAGCTGCAGGCGGCCACTTCTTTCTCCCCTGCAGGTGGCTCGGCAGCTCCAGCCCTCCGTGGTGTGGATCCAAGACACCGAGAAAACCTTCTACAAAAAAGTGCCCAATACGGAGAAGCAGGTGAGGGGCTTGTGCCCACTTCTCACAATGCTCGTTTCCTTGCCCCAAGGGGACCCCTTCCCGGGGGACCACTTCTGGAGCGGGCCTTGCCTTGCCCGGGGAGGAGGAAGGCACTGGGCTTTCGCACCTGCTGCGCTGGTCTCTGTCTGCCCCCAGCGCTCGTCTGCATTTGCAGGGACCCAGTGGTCTGCTCTTAGGAGACATAATTTAAAAGAAAATCAAAGAAAGTGGGAAAGCTGGGAGAAGGAGGGTTTTCAGCCCAAACATATGATTCACAGGAAAGAAACAACTTAGAGAACTCGGCTCAGTGACAGCAAATGGCACACACAGGAGTTATTATTAGGATTTCCTATTGTTCATCATAATAAATAGCAAAGAGCCTGAAATTTATGAACAAAGGCCGTCAACAGAACCGCTAAGTGCACCGCGTTCGGGCCTCCGGGGAGCCCGGCTCCAATTGCTTCCTTCCTCCTTTTATCCGCTCTCAATGGCCCCCCTCCCCAGGACTTCCCCCCGCAAATCACCAGCAAATTTCCCACAAGTTAAAAAAAAAAAAGTGCAGACACACAGGATGGTTATCCACTTTGTCTTGCACCAGGGCCAGCAGCGTCTGGCTGGGAACCCCTGATTGACCCTGTGAGGGAGTGATCCCCGCTGATGTGCGTGTGTGGACCTCACTCTGAGCAGGCAGAGGCGACTGGGATAACAGAGGAAAGTGCCATCTCCTGTCCCCAAGTGAGCCGAGGGCCGTCAGCTCCCAGCTGTCAGAGGGCGCGTTCGTTATCACCCGGAGTCAGCCAGTCCGCTCCCTCTGCTGGCCGGCTTGCCACACTGAGGAGGAAACCCCACAGACACAGCGTGTGCCAACTCCAACTCCACGGCCGGCGGTGCCCCGAACAGGCTCCCGAGCCAAGAGGACCGCACAGCGCCACGCCCTGAAGTCATCACCAGTGTGGTGCAGGGACGGACGGGGGCGACTCGCTCTCCTCCAGACGTCAGCCGGGCAGCGGCAATGCCCAGGCCTGCAACTCGGGTGATGTGGGCTGCAGGCGTGCCCTGGCTGTGTGTCCTGAAGCATGAGTTAACTGCTTTGAGCCTCCACAACCTTACCTTTTGTGTTTTTTTTTTTTTTTAAGATTTATTTATTTATTTGAAAGGCAGAGTTACTGAGAGGCAGAGGCAGAGAGAGACTGGGAGGTCGTCCATCTGCTGGTTCACTCCCCAGATGGCTGCAACAGCCAGAGCTGAACTGATCCAAAGCCAGGAGCCTGGAGCTTCTTCGTGGTCTCCCACGTGGGCGCAGGGGCCCAAGGACTTGGGCCATCTTCTACTGCTTTCCCAGGCCACAGCAGAGAGCTGGATAGGAAGAGGAGCAACCAGGACTAGAACTTACGCCCATATGGGATGCCAGCACTGCAGGCTGTGGCCTTACCTGCTAAACCACAGCGCCAGCCCCACTTTGTTTTTGAGATTAGTTCATTTGAAATGCAGTTATGGAGAGAGAGAGAGAGAGAGAGAGGGAGAGAGAGAGAGATTGTCCATCTGCTGGTTCACCCCTCAAATGGCCACAGCAGTGGGGGCTGGGTCAGGCCAGAGCCGGGTCTGCCATGCAGCTGACAGAGGCCCAAGCACTTGGACCATCTTCCAGTGCTTTCCCAGGTGCATTAGCAGGGAGCTGGATGGGAGGTGGAGCAGCCGGGACTGGAACCAGCTGGCAAATGGGATACAGGTGTTGCAGGCAGCTGCTTAACCCACTGGGTGACAGTGCCAGCGTCCTGCCACCTTCAGTTTGTCACACATGCACACCTGAGGGCCTGGAGAGTCCGAGAGAAGTGAGAGGCAAGCAGAGCTGAGCAAGCCAGCAGGAAATGGAGCAGCAGCCAGGGGCCAGGGGCCACTGCACGGGGACTCGCGGCAAAGCAAGAGGCCGCCCCAGGAGGGAGCTGAGGCAGTGCATACGGCCCCACGGCCCTGACGCCGCCATCATCGCTGCCCCGATCCCGGTCTCCACGTTTGCCCCAGTCAGCAACGAAGGCCCTCGGTGGCCCAGGCTGCGTTGTGGACGGCCAGACGCTTCCTGCTCACCTGTGCACTGGAAGCCTCTGTTATGTCACAGGAGCCGTGTTGAAGACCAGCCTATGAATGCGAGTCCACACGGGAGATCCACAGTCCAGCCAGGGGTCTGAGCCACACTGGGCACAGAGCCGCTGGAGGCTGTGGTCCACCCCCAGCCTGGCCCGGCCCCAGCGCCCCAGCAGGAGGAGAGAGAGGGAGGGAATGCTGCCCATGGGAAGACAGATCTCCATCCAGCGCTGCCACACCCCTGGGACCCCGGGACCCTGGGGCTGGGCCTGGGCCAGCGCTGCCCTCTGAGATCCTGTGTCTCTGTGGACTTCCTCAGCCCCAGGGCCCTGGGCAGCCACACTGGGGGTCTCCATTCTGAGGTGATGAGCAGGAGCCAAGGGCAGCAGGCAGGCGGAAGCCGGGAGGCATCGTTACCGCCACCTCCTTGGATCCCTCACCCAGTGTCCTGCTCACCTGCCCGGGCCTCTGTGTGAGAGGCCCACCTGATCCCCAAGGGGCGAGGGTGCAAGAAGAGTGTTCGCCTGCAAAGAGGCCAGGACGCAGGTGTCCTGCCCGCCACGGCCACACTGCAGAGAGCGGGGCCCGACCTTGCCCTGGGCACTGCCTGCTGGCTGTGTGGGATCCGGGAACACCCCCTGAACACTCAGCTTCTTGTTTTAAGATTTATTTTGAAAGTCAGAGTTACAGAGAGCCAGAAGCAGAGAGAGAGAGAAATCTTCTATCCACTGGTTCACTGCTCAGATGGCTACAACGGCCAGGGCCAGGCCAGGCCAAAGCCAAGAGCTAGAAGCTTCATCCAGGTCTCCTGAGTGAATGCCAGCGCCCAAGAACTCAGGTTGTCTTCCACTCCTTTCCCAGGCCATTAGCAGGGAGCTGGATCAGATGTGGAGCAGCAGGGACTCGAACCAGTGCCTGTGTGGGATGCCGGCAGCGGCTTAACCCACTGCACCACAACACCAGCCCCAACATCCAGCTTCTAAATCCAGGACCTCCGCCTGTGGGCCGAGGCCTCTCCCGTGGCGAAATGCCCAGAGCCCACACAGTCAGGCAGCATGGAGCCTGCGTCACAGGATGCCGGAGGAGGCCGTGGGGATGGTGACTGACACTTTCTCCTTCCAGGCGCGACAGACACTGACTCCAGCCTGAGCAGGAGGCGACCCCGCCTCTGGGACAGAGGAGGACAGGGCCTCTGAGAGGGCGCCCTCTGCTTAGAGAGTGCGGGATGGGAGCACACGGCCAAGTGCACAGTCCAGCCCCCTTGTGCGGGTTGGGAGCACACAGCCAAGTGCACAGTCCAGCCCCCTTGTGCGGGTTGGGAGCGCACGGCCGAATGCATGGTCCAGCTCCCTTGTGCGGGTTGGGAGCACACGGCCGAGTGCACGGTCCAGCTCCCTTGCCCGCTTCTGCCACTCACAGGCAGGAAGACCCAGAGTGCACGCCACTGGCTCTTCCCCTCATGCCCACAAGGCTGGCCCCCTCGTGTGCACCTGTGGCCCCAGGCCCGGGCCCTCCTTGACCCCCATGTGAGCTCTAACCCTCACCCTGAAAGCAGCCTTGGCTCGTGTCGGGAGCACAGGTGCACTGCTCCGGGTTCTCCCTTCTCCGGGCCCCTCGTATCATCCGCAACAGCCCTCACAATGCTCTCACACGCAGGGATTTCTGGAAGGTCCAAACCCTGAGTGACCACACCCGGCAGGTGCCTGCGCGGTGCCCCCTCCCTGCCTCCTGGGAGGAGGAGCACACGGGTCCCCTCGCCCTGCGCGAGGCTGGGGTGTGCTGGGTGAGTGTGCACGGGTGCAGGCACAGAAGGACGCGGCAGGGCCGCCCGTTCCTGTGCTTTCTGCGCCATCACCCTTCGCGACTCCGTAAGACGAGCGCCTTGCTGACATCACCGCCAGCCTCCACGAGGGGGCCGCTCGCTTTGTTGGGGCTGGCGGCCGTGGTGGTTTCGTGGCGCTACCTGCAGAAAAGCAAATTGAGATGGCCGTGTGGATGCTAGCCGCTAATTTGAAACTGCCCACAGGTGCACAGCTGTGAGGGTTGGCAGGCCCGGCAGCATGGGGTGGGGCGTGAGGCAGGTTGCCAGGTGATGGGGGCTGGCTGCTGGCGTGCCGGCTGAGTGCAGGGGTCTCGCAGGGACTGGACAGCTCCGAACTGCACCAGGAGAGGCCCAAGTGCAGGAGGGAATGAACACGCCTCTTCCTTCTGCCGCCTGCCGAAGGTGCCGCGCCTCACCGTCAGCACCTGCTTCCGTCTGGACGCGGCCCGGGGTCAGCACTTGTTAGCCGCAGGGGCTCGTTAGTTTCAGATGTCCCTGCCATTTCAGGATGCACAAGCAGCCTCAGAACGGGCAGGGACCACGCTGCCATCGCCATGGCAACCGGGCAGCTGAGGATGGGCTCAGACCACACAGGTGTATCCCACCCCCACCCCGGGACCCATCCCCATGCACACCAGGACCCCCAGCTGAGTCGTTCTTCCACTGGCCTTTGGGCGGCTGACATGGACACCCTGTGTGGCCCAGTGGCCTTCGCCCCTTGCTTTGTTCTCCATCAAACTTCTCAGCAGACAGTTCCCAAAGTCCCCGGTCACTCAGCCCACCACCATCAGCTTGCCGCCCTCACCACTCCACAGAAATGGTTCTCATGAGATTCTTTGACACCAAAGAAGTGCAGAGCTTCTTTGAAAACTACAAGAATGTTGTTGAAAAAACGTGAAGATGGAAACAAAGTGAAAGACGTTGTGTGAGGCGATGTTACGGCGGCAGTGACTCCCAAGTTGATCTACAGATTGGATGCAATTCCACTCAAAATCTCAGCCAGTTGATTTGCAGAAATTCGTAAGTAAAATTCACACAGAAATTCAAGGGACTCAGTCAAAACATTCTTCAAAAATCATACAAAATCAAAATGCTCAAATTTCCCAGTTTCACTTCTGAATACGCCACAAAGCTGCACCCATCAAGACCATGTGGTGCTAGCATAATGAGAAACAACAGAGCAGTGGCACAGAACTGAGTTACCCAGGAACAAGCACCCACATTCGACAAAGGACAGTCCAGTGCGGAAAGTAGTCTTCAGCTAGTGGGCTGTGGGCCAACGGAGTGAAGTTGGACCCCTACCTCACACCATAAATGAAAATCAGAGGCCTGAAGGCTAGAGCTGCAACCTTTCTTGAGAGGCATTGGTGTGCGTTTCCGTGGCCTGGGATTAGACGGTGGTTTCCACACCAGAAGCACGAGCGACAAAAGAAAAATCAAATTGCACGTCAGCAAAATCTAAAACATTTTGGTGCAAAGGCACCACAGAGAGTGGAAAGAAGGGGAGAAAGCATTCGCCAACCTCACACTGATAGGAAACTTGGATCCAAAATATATAAAGACCGGCGCTCCGGTTTTCCCCTGACTTGTTCGGGAGGTGGACTAGAGATTTTCCTTGCTGACTGCTGGAGGCGGGGTCTCGTGTCTGAAAACCACCGAGTCACAGAGGGCTGTGGGACATCCTCTGTGGCAGCGTGCAGTGTCTGCCCCAAGAGGGAGGAGCGGGTCAGGGTGGCTTCCGGCCCGGGAGTCAGGTCTTGGCTGTCAGGGAACTCGCTTGGCTTAGAGACGCAGAGAGGAGGTGTGGAAGAACGCGGGGGGCGGTGGAGACAGGCACTTCAGGGAAGTCCCAAGCCCAGTCTTGGCCACCTGAACTCGCCCCGGGCTTGGGGCTAACGGTGCCTGACATCTTTCCATGGGCTGAACTGTCATTTGGATTTGTTCTTTGGAAAAATGGGTGTTGAGTTCCTTGGCTCATTTTTAAAGCCGGGTGATGTGTCTTTTCATTGCAGACTTGTAACAGGTCTTTATATATTTTGGATCCAAGTTTCCTATCAGTGTGAGCGCCGGGAACCAACCGTGCACTTGAGCGAGATTCCTTCCGCTCGGTTTCCCATTCTGAGCGCCAAGGTGCTCCGAAGGTTCAGGCAGGTGCTTCCTTCCTGCCCGCCTTCCAGATGTGAACGGCAGGGACTGGGGAAAGGAAACGCAGACAATCCCGATCACCAGCTCCCGGCGTCCCGGGACGTGTCCTGGGATAAACTTTAGGAAACGAACCTCAGCGCTTGGCCACCCCTTTAACCATCGCGTGGCACAGTGCGCCCCGTTCTGGAGAACCTTTTCTTTAGTTTTTAGTTCTGATGGGGTCTTATTTTCTTCCCCTCTCTCACCCAGAGTGAACCCAAACGCCTGAAAAAGCAGCTTCCAAAAATCCTGAAGCTCCTGAAACCAGACGACCGGATCCTGATCGTGGGGACAACACAGCGTCCTTTTGATGCTGAACTTCAGTCATTCTGCAAAGTTTACCAGAAAATCATTCTGGTTCCCAGGCCGGACTACGCCTCCAGATACGGCAAGTACCCCGCGCCCTTCCCGTGCGGCCCTGGGCTGGGCCGTGCGTCATTCGCTTAAGGGTCGTGAGGCCAGAGGGTGGTCTTCCTCACACGGGGGGCACCGGGCGCCTAGGAGGCCTGTGGACCTGGACTGAGAGTGGAGCGAGCCGGGCCCCGAGTGTCTGTTCCGTTAGCAGGTCCGTGTTACCCAAGACAAAAGCAAGTGGGATGGGGACACTTATTTGGGGCCTTGCTGGTGCTGGCTTCTCTTTCCGCAAGTGGGTTAGGGGTCACTCATCTCGTCCCCCAGGTGACAGTGACTGTCTCCTCGAGCCCCGTTTCTTTGTACTGGACTTGTTGTCACTCGCAAAGTCTAGGCCCATGTTGCCTTTTAAATGCAATAGGTTACTGCCCCCACGCTTTCTTCTTGAATTGGCAGTTTCAAAAGCCACTTCTTTTGAGACATGTTTTTAATCAAAGACAGGACAAAAGGTACCCCACCCCACCCCGCCCCCCAGAGGCAGCGAAGTGAAAGTGGGAAAAGCCGTGGGATTTTGGACCTCAAGCCCGAGAGACCCGGCTCTGCCGCTTGGGGGCCCCCAGCTTCACATCCGTGAAGTGGGAGAGGAACTGGCTGCAGGGAACTGTCGTGGCCATCACGAGGTAGTAAGCGGAATCCTGGCACCACATCCCCGGGGAGCCTGGGTGCTGGCGGTGGAGGAGGAGCCGATGGCGGGTGGTAAGTGGTGCCGGTGCCGGTGCCGGGGTGGTTCCCGTTACCCATGGCTGTACAGAAACCTCCCTGGGGTGGGCGGTTAGCCCAGCAGGGAAGAGGCCAGTTAAGGGTCTCACAGCCTGTGACAACCTGTGACATGGGCAATCAACATGTCATTCTTTTAAATCCAGGTTCCCGCTCCTACAGAGATAGAAATACTAACCAGAGACTGGTGTTGTGTGAAACAGGAAGAGTTTATTTGGCAGTGAGGAACTAAATGTACATTCACATGCAGGGGTGGGCTGCCCCACACTGAGATACCCCAATGAGCGGGCCACAGAGCTGCCTGTAGACTAGAGAGAAAAGGAGAACCGAAAACGGTGCCCCCACTTGGGAGGTCCGTCAGAGCTCCGTGGCACAAGGGTATTCCAAGAACATTCCGCCGTGGGCAGAGCAGACATGGGCACAGTACCTCCAAGCAGGGTCGGTGGTGGAAAAAGAGCCCCTGCCTCTCCCACCTCTTTTTATAAGGAAGGAGGTGGTGCCCCAGTTGGATATGCAAATGGGGTGGGGTCTGAGCACGCACCCTGGTCCCAGATGGGACGTGTGCATCCTAGGAAGGTGGGCATAGTGGACCAACAGTTACAGAGACAGCATCATTGGGCCAGGAGACAGGAGTTCTAGCTCACCGAAACTAACCTCCTGCCCACGTACCCCACGTCACTTGGGTTTAGCACCATGCTGATCCCAGCACCCTGCATTGCAGACCGTGGGACGTTGCAATGATCGCTCAAGTAATCAGGTTCCTGCCTCCACTTGGGCGAGCTGGATTGAGTTCTCAGCTTGAGCTCAGTCTCTTTGCCATTGCAAGCATTAGGAGAGGGATCCATTGGCTGGGAGAGCTCTCTCTTTCGCTCTCACTCTCGCTCTCTCTCGCTCTCTCCCCACCTCCACTTCTCAAATAAATAATAAATAAAACCCTCCCCAGTAGCTTAAGACAACACATTATTCCCTCTCATGTTTTGGAGGGTTGGAGGGTTCCGCTGGGGCCTTCTCTTTGGGTATCTCATGATGTTAGGTGCAGATGTCAGCCGGGGCTCTGCTTATCTGAAGATGGGACAGGGCTGGACTTCAAGGAAACCGGCTGAGGCGACTGGAGTTGACGCTGGCCATCAGTTGGGGACTGAGATCACATGTGCACCAGGCAGCCCACACATGACCTCACCTCTCCGTGCAGTTTTGCGCACACAAAGAGGGAACACGTGGTGGCAATGGAGGCAGTGTGTGATGCTGGGGAGGTGGCTTGGTGGTCAAGGGGACAGTGGCGTGCACAGTGGTAGATGTGACAGCGGTAGCAGCCGTGGGGTAGTGGTGGTTAGCACAGATGGTGGTAACAGACGACTGGGCCAGAATCCGTTTCCTTGACTGCTTCTCCAGTCACATTAGCACCACCAAACAAAGAGGGGTGTGGCCCTCCCTGGTTGCTCTTAGTTCCTGGTCAGTATATTTGAAAAAAAAAAAAACTAAACTAAACAAAAAACTCTGCTATGCAGTATAAACTGTCAGCCAATTGGTCATTGCAGGGTGCTCTCTAATCTGCATATAGCAAGAACTGCCAGCTGATTGGCCACTGAGTGTGTCACATGTACTCTCTAATCTGCATGTAGCATGAACTGCCGGCTGATTGGCCACTGTGTTTGCAGCGTGTGCTTACTTCTGCCTCCGTAAACTGTGATCCTGGCTTCATCCGCGGGGTTATACACCAAGCACAGGAAGCCTTGGGCTCCAGTAAATTCTCCGTGCTTCCGGTGGCTTCCCCTCCTTTCTCGGCCTCAGCAGCTTCCCCTGCACCCTCTGCATGGAGCCAGCAGCCAAAGGAAAGGGGAAGACAGCGTAGAGAACACACTGGAGACGTTAGGGACCACGTCCCCTAACCCGTATCGCTTGACCAGAGTGAGTCGCACGGCCCCAGCCAGCTTCCGGGGAGCAGGGCCGTCCAGCCAGGAGAGGAGACAGCATGGAGACAGGGGGCAGCCTTGGCTGCAGCCCGCCGCCGTCCACGTCCAGGACTCGTGCTCCCGACTTTCCCAGAGCTTTCCCAGCTGCTCTCTCATGATTTCTTCCCTTTTCATTGTGTGCGTTTTCAAGCCTCTTAGTGAGAGAAGGTAGGGAACGGCTAAGGTGTTACTCTCGACTTTGGACTGAATGGTTTCTACTGACACACACCACGGCCCCTTGTCCTTGTGGTCGGGTGTCAGGCACCCCAAGGGCTCCGGTCACAGTGCGCATTCCCCTCCGCCTCGCCTGGGGCCCAAGGAGGGGGCACGCTGCCCCAGGCAGGTGCTGACTCCCTACGTGCCCCCATGGGACCAGGGCCCAACCACTACGCCAGGCGCCACTCGCATCTGTCGTTCTCCGTGGGTGATTGGTCCAGGCTGCCGCTCTTGCTGACATCGCACGCACTGCCCGGGGAGGGCTTCCTCTGGGGACCCCAGACTTCTCACAGCCGCAGTGGCCGGGGCATCTGTCCGAAAGGAAAGGGTTCTTGTCTTTACGGTGATCCCAGGGGGCCCCTTCTGGCCCATCGAGCTCGGGCTGCAAGTCCATCACTTGGGCCGTTGGCCAGCCAGCCATCTGCCCGCAGCAGAGCGCCACGGCTGCGGGGGCCTTCCTGGTCCCATGTGTCACGTTGCTCCAAGCCTCGCGGGAAAGTGACAGTGACAAGGCGCTGGCTGTGGGTGTCAGAGGGTCAAGGAGGCGGCGTCCCTCAGGTTCACCAAACAGAGTCCAGCATCCACTGCCTCGCGCCCCACGTCGAGCTCCCCTGCAGAGGAAGCCCACCCCCGGGTCGATGGACGCCTTGTCCGTCCCCAGGAATCTGGGTGCCTCCTCGCCACATTCCTCACGCCTCCCTTCCCTGCCTCTCCGCCATGGAGTCCGCTCTGCTAAGAGCCCCATTCATCCCGGCCCCGCCCGGCCCCGGGCTCTGCTCACACCCACACGCACGCGGCCTCCGTCTGCAGAGCTTTCCGGAATGCTAGACCTCAGAGGGGCAGGATCTGCACCACATCCTTATCCTCTCCCGCTTCGTGAAAACTGAACATTAACACACCGCGACCTCGCAAGCTCCCAGCCTGGGTGCAGTCCAGCGGGAGCCGAGGACCAGGCCTGTTCCTTGGCAGAGAGCACAGGAAGCCGCAGAGGGGAGGTGAGCACGGAGGAGGCCGCGGGAGTGTGGACCCTTTCGCATCCAAGAGGGGAGCATGACCGAGAGCGCGCGGCCCAGGGTCCCTCCCTGCCGCGGGCACCCTGCAGGCCGGCCGCAGTGCTCACCCACCCGTGCGGGTCCCAGGGTGGCCGTGGTTTTGTGCCAGCACCGGTGGCTTGCTGGTCCCCCACTCGCATGGAGACGCCCTCTGCCTCCGTCTGCGGGAGTGTCAGGAACCATGAGGCGGTGGCTTGGTGGCAGCTGGAGAAGCGGCTCTTTGAAAGGCCGTCAATCAGGCCTGTCAATCAAGCCTGTCAATCAAGCCTGTCAATCAGGCTCACCAAGCAGGAGAAGGAAGTCAAACCTGGATGGTGAGGGGATGCCGGCGACGCATGTGGGAAGTTGGGCTGCCCCGCACGGCTCTCCTCCGGGGTCGCTACCGCTCAGCAGATGGGGAGCCCTGTGAGCGGGGGTGACGCCATTGCACACCCTGAAGGGGCGGTGGCACAGTCCCACGTCCGCTCTGCCAGGGCGAGCGCATTCGGGCTGCCTCTGGCGAATCCTGGGCGCAGTGGCTCGGTGGAAGCAGGGCGACTGCTCAGGCCGGGAGCTCCCAAGGCCCTGAGTGTTGTAGCGTCGCAGGGCAGCAGAGTGGAATGTCAGTGGGATCACACGGCCCCACTGCTGGCCCAGGCCGGCTCCACGCCGCAGCCCAGGTGGGCGAGCTGCCTGTGCTCACCAAGACTGAAGCCGCGCTGAGCCCCCGCCTGGGGACCGCTGGGCTCTCTCCTGTGACAGCCACACAGCAGGTCGTCTTCTCCACTTTCAGGGTCCCCTCAGACCGGCGGCCCTTGGCGTGGGTGTCACGGGGGTGGGCAGGAGGCGTGCCGAGGCCCAGGGCTGCAACTGCACCGGCGGCGGCGGTCTTCGAGGGTCTCACCAGGGCTTGCGCGTTCTGATTTCTGACTCTGCGGCAGTTGGGCTTCGGTTCAGCCTCTCCTGCTCTGAGCTGCCTTCACACACGCGTGTTCTGAAATGTCCCCATTCGCTTAGCCTGATCTCGTGTCGCAGCTGTTTTAATGGCAGTTAGGAAGCTTAGGTGTGGATGCAATGGCAAATACAGCGACACAGCTGGGGAGGACGGAGCAGCCGGCGCCTGCAGGGGCCCCGCGCAGTGCTGTGTGGGCGTCGCCGGCCCTTCCTCACGGCGGCACCGAGAAGTCTGGCTCTCCACTCCCGGGGTATGGCTAAGATGCATTTGGGTGCGAGCTCAGGTAAACTCCCTGCGGAAGCAGCGGAGTAGGTCCAGGGTTAATGAAACTCTGGGCCACTTTGGGGTCTCCGGGGCCCCACTGGTGTCACCGCAGGTCCACACGCCCTTGATGCCCCCCCTTCCCCAGCTCAGAGAAACGGGCAGGCGCCTTGGTAAGATCGACACCTGCCGGCCACCCTGCTCCTCAGGACGGCAACGCGAGACCCGCTGATGCGGTGCACAGTGACGTTAGCCATTTTACCCCTTTGCAGTGAGTGGCCCTATTCACTTCACTTCAGCCGTCCTTGGCTGCACGTGTCTGGATGACGGAGTCACCGAACAGAGGCAGAACCAGCCCTTTGTGAGACCTGGCAATGCTCAGATCATGGTCGTTTTTTTTTTTTAGACAAAGACTGGGCGAGCCCGTCCCAGGGCTGAGAGCGACCCCTGGTGCCGAGACCCCTCGCCTTCCCCCTGCCCCGGGCACAGCTCCATCCGTGGCAGAAAGTCTGGTTGCTCCCCTCGAAGCTCCCCGCACGTGACGGATGCGGTTCTGCAAGCCAAACGCCGCTGTAAATGTGCAAGGGAAGCGCGTTCTCTCTCGGAAGTCAGGCACCGAGCACCCGTTTCCTAGTTCCCTTTCACAACATCCCCTGTTCTGGCTGAAATCTCTCGGTCCCCTGGGTCTCCCAAGCCGGAGAACAGCCCTGCACCTGCCATGGTCTCAACCAGTGGGTGCATGTGCACAGTTGCTAGGGGTGGAGGGTGAGGGGAGAATCAGAGCCCAATTGCTCTCTTACTCTCTTCATTCTTTTTTTAAGATCTATTCATGGGGCCGGCGCCAGTGCCTCACTTGGTTAATCCTCCACCTACGGCACCAGCATCCCATATGGGCGCCGGGTACTAGTCCCAGTTGCCCCTCTTCCAGTCCAGCTCTCTGCTGTGGCCTGGGAGGGCAGTGGAGGATGGCCAAGTCCTTGGACCCTGCACCCCATGGGAGACCAGGATAAGTACCTGGCTCCTGGCTTCGGATCGGCACAGCTCCAACCATAGTGGCCATTTTGGGGGGTGAACCAAGGGAAGGAAGACCTTTCTCTGTCTCTCTCTCTCACTGCCTAACTCTGTCAAATAAAAAAAAAAGGTCTATTCATTTATTCAAAACGCAGAGTTGGAGAGAGAGAGAGAGAAACGGATCGATCCTCCATTCACTGGTTCACTTTCCAAATGGCCGCAACAGCCAGGGCCGGGCCAGGCTGAAGCCAGGAGCCAGGAGCCAGGAGCTTCTGGCAGGCCTCCCACGTGGGTGCAGGGGCCCAGGGACTTGGGCCATCCTCCTCTGCTTTTCCAGGCGCGTTAGCAGGGAGCTGGGTTAGAAGTGGAGCAGCCGAGTCTTGAGCTGGCGCCTGCGTGGGATGCTGGTGTCAGAGGTGGCAGCGCTACCCACTCTGCCGCAACGCCAACCCCAAATTGCGCTATTCAATACCATGTATACTTCAGGGTCTTAGACCCAAGAGAACGAGCCGGCCCAGTCTAACAGTGATGTAAGAAGAAATTAACCTTGTGACTGGAAGTAAAGAACACTTACCTGTTCAGCCTATTCGGGAAATAATCGCATTCTGTCGAGTAGAGACGCTACTGGACAGGAACCACGTAGAAAGCCGTCTGACCGCGTCTGGATTTCCGGGTCAACTTGCCAGGGACTCTGGATCTGTAGAGCTCGGGTGGTTGATGGGTGGGTCTTGTGGATGAAGGTTCCCCAAGGTGAGGTGTCAGTTATTTGACTCTCTGCCCATGAGAACCACAAATAAATGGGCGTGCCCTCCTCGCGGGTCCCTCTCTCAGCGAGATGCGACTTGGCCGCGACAGGCAGCCTGATGCCTCCTTGGTGGTAACCCTTGTTCTCTGTGTCTTTTCTACTGCCTTGGATACAACAGTTCTGTGGAAGCAAGTGATTCAGCGCCTTGGAGGGGTCCTCACCAATGCCTTGAACATCAGCTGCCTGGCCAAGGTCACCGACGGCTTCACCCAGGGACACGTGGTGGAGGTGGTTCAAAGCGTGCTCTCGGAGCAGAGGATCCGGCAGCAGGGCCGCCGGCCGCTCACCGCGGGCGAGTTCATCGCGGCGATAACCAGCATGAACCCCGTGTACAAAGAGGAAGAGGAGAGCTTTAAGGTAAAGGGGACATGTCGGTGGCCGAACCTGCACCCAGACGCCTGTCGCGTTACTCCCCCTTCCCCTGATTTCCTGGATTCGAGCTGTCACATACAGTGAAGTTACTGGCATCACAGATCCTTTGAGCCTTAGCAGTAAAGCGTCTTCCAGATTTCAGGCAGATCATGGCCCAAGCCCTGAGACATTAGCAGTCAAACTGCAGAAGTGAGCCTCAAAACCATCGAATTCCCAGCACGCACACGCGTGCACACATGCACACACCAGCCTTATTCAGGTTTTCACTCCATATTGTGTGTTAAAGCTCAGGGTTTTACATGGAGAAAACTATTCCCTAAAATAATACATTTCATGCGGATGCTGCTTCTGTCCCGCATTCAGCAGGGTACGCAAAAGGAAACAGCACTAAGATTTCCCTACAATTAGTTTTCCCATTTGCAAATATTCTCTGACACTCCGAGCTTCGTACATAAAGATCTGACGGCGGGGAGTTCAGGCACTGAGAGCCGAGCAGCGTCCGTCCCGAGTGTCTACCCCGTGTCCTCGCACAGAGTCACCCGCACGCGAGGTGCCAGCGCCTGGGCACAGCCAGCGGCCTGCAAAGCTTGGTTTGTAGACACAGGCAAGCGGTCACCAGGTCACATTTGGCCCTACGCCATATGTGCATGGCTCCTGCCAATCCCAGCTGAGATTTTGCCAAACATTTGAATTCATATTCTTGTGTGGTGTTTAAATCCTGTTTGTGTTAATGACTATTTTTCCTCTTCCAGTGTACTCTGTTCTCTGCTGAGATTCCCAAGCACTTTTTCTCCTCCTAAATGGCTAATTCTCCCCCTTATTTTGAAGAGCTAGGCCAAGGGTATTTTTTTTTATTTGACAGAGTTAGACAGTGAGAGAGAGAGAGAGAGAGAGAGGTCTTCCTTCTGTTGGTTCAGTCCCCAAATGGCCGCTATGTCCGGTGAGCTGCACCGATCAGGAGCCAGGCACTTTCTCCTGGTCTCCCATGTGGGTACAGGGGCCCAAGGACCTGGGCTATCCTCCACTGCCCTCCCGGGCCACAGCAGAGAACTGGGCTGGAAGAGGAGCAACAGGGACGAGAACCCGGTGCCCATATGGGATGCCGGTGCCACAGGCAGAGGATTAACCTAGTGCGCCATGGCGATGGCCCCAGCTGAGGGTATTAAAAGCTGTGTGTGGCCAGCGCCGTGGCTCAATAGGCTAATCCTCCGCCTGTGGCGCCAGCACACCGGGTTCTAGTCCCCGTGGGGGCACCAGATTCTGTCCCAGTTGCCCCTCTTCCAGTCCAGCTCTCTGCTGTGGCCCGGGAGGGCAGTGGAGGATGGCCCAAGTGCTTGGGCCCTGCACCCCATGGGAGACCAGGAGAAGCACCTGGCTCCTGACTCCGGATCAGCGCCATGTGCCGGCCTCAGTGGCCATTGGAGGGTGAACCAATGGCAAAGGAAGACCTTTCTCTCTGTCTCTCTCTCTCTCTCGCTGTCCACTCTGCCTGTTAAAAGAAAAAAAAAGCTGTGTGTGCTCCTGGCTGGGTTTTTGACTTCCTCAAGGGACTTCGAGAAGTTTCTTGTTAAAAGTGTCTGAGCTCTGGCCGTGCTGTTGCGGAAGCTCACTGTGTGAGCTGGAGTGAGACTGTGCCTGCAGAGACAGCCATCCGTGTAGTGCCCACCACCTTACGTGTCCTGTAAGGGAGCTGCCCCCACACGCAGTGCTGGCCCCACGGAGGTGCTGAGTGAGTCTGTTGCACTCAACAGTGCAACACAAGTGGAGTGGCTGGACAGGTGCGAGGGGGCACCACTGCTGCGGGGCCTCTGAGTCAGGCCTCTCGTGTTTGCCCTGAGAAACTGGTCCCCACGGTGCTTCCGACACCGTGTCAGGGTGAGAGCAGGCAGAGTCCCCAGACACATCACAGCCTGCTCCGTGGGCGTGGTGGAGTAAGTAGGGAGCTGATAATGCTCACAGGAGCTGTGATCCTATGGGTGCGCTGACACTGACTGCCCCCAGCTGGTGGGCGCTACACTCACTCATGCAGATATCACAGCCCCCCTGTTTTGCAAATGAGGGCGCTGAGTTCAGAATAATCGCCCCTCAAAGAAGTCCACATCCTAACGCGCAGCAGCTGTGAGTGTGTTCAGTTCACACAGCACAGGGAGTGTGGGGGTGCGGATCAGCAGAACGTGAGATTCGCGTATTAATTATCCTGCATGACCCCGGCCAGTCCAACGTAGCCCCTGAATAAGTGGAAGAGGGAATAGAAGAGAGAGCAACTGGAGAGGGACTCGGTGCTCCAGGTGGCCCGGCATTGCCAGGCTGCACCCGGAGGAGGGCCCGCAGGCCAGAGGGACAGGTGACCTCTGGAAGCTGCGATGGCGACGGAGTGGATTTACCCCACAGCCTCCATACGCTGGTTTTGCCAGTGGGGCACATTCAGAGCTGCGAGCCCAGGGAGCCGTGGGGAAGGCACACGCGTCAGCCTGAGCCGCTGAGTCTGCAGGAGTTGCCCTCAACAATAGTTCAGAGAGACAACCAGGAGGCGAAGTCCAGCGCCGCGGCTCAGCAGCCACGGAGCCGCAGGAACTGAAGCCACATTTACTGTGGCCGGGTGTCTTAACCACGTTCCCTACTGCGTCCCGGCAAGTTAAGAGTTCATCACCTTAAGTACTTGGTCAGTCTCACTTTACATTCAAAACAGAGCCAAGGATAAAAGAAGGAAGAAGAAATCCCCAAATTCCAGAAACACAGAGAAGTCTGAGAGACGGGAGTGAATGCGTGGGTGACACAGGGAGCGTAAGATCCGAACATCAGGACGAGCAGGCCTGGCTTAGGAGCCCAACGTCCGGCTGCCCGAAGCCAGGGCATCCCCCAGGCTGCCCTGGGGAAGCCTCGAGGGGTTGTCAGGACCCCAGACTGGGGAGCAGAGGCATTCCAGAGCTCCGAATCCTAAGCCTTGCACACGGGCCTCCACGGTGCCGGGATCTGCAGTATTCATACATTTCCAAAAAATGGCGTGGTCTCTTTAGAGCCCCTGAAGTCACATCAAAAGCAAATATAACAACTACCTACATGGAAATTTATCCACGTCAGGTGAACAAGGGACTCCCGTGGGAAGTGTTACCCTTGCTCGAGATGGGCCTTGGAACAGAGCTTGGGCCGCGGGGAAGCCGTCTTCCGTGTGGAGAGGCAGAAGGCACACACAGGCAGAACTAGCGCCACCAAGGACTTTCAGGGAGGGACCTCATAACTGAAAGGACTTTCGGTTATTGGGCACCAAAGTGTTATGGTGGGAAGGCAGGCAGACCCAGAGAGGAACCAAATACAACTTCTTGTAGTGTAGTCATTGAAGTCAAAATGCAATGAATGGGAGCCAGCATTGTGGCACAGCGGGCGAAGCCACCACCTGTGACGCCAGCATCCCATGTGAGCACCGATTGGAGTCCTGGCTGCTCAGCCCCCTGCGAACGGGCCTGGGAAGGCAGTGGAGGATGGCCCAAGTGCCTGAGCCCCTTCCGTCCACGTGGGAGACGCAGATGAAGTTCCAGGCTCCTGGCTTCAGCCTCGCCCAGCCCTGCGCATTGTGACTGGCTGTTTGGGAAGTGAACCTACGGATGAAAAATCCCTCTCTATCTGTGCCTTGTAAGTAAAGTAAATCTTGGTGAATGGGTTCTCTGTGAATCAGACACAACTGAATAATAAAAGAACTAGGAAGGGAGCACAAAAAACTGTCGCGAATGCAGCATAGAAGGAAACACATCAGGGAAGAGAAGACGACCGCTCCTGCTGCCTGGGCCTCTGACATCCACGGTAAAACCACGGGGCACTGACGGCAAAGCATCCCCGCACGGCCTGGCTCTGTGTGGGGTCAGAGAACCTCACAGAACCAAGTGCAGAGCTGCTCAGGAGAGAGAGATGACAAGCGGCACGGAGACCAGGAGTTCCCACTCAAAATAAATCTGGAAACCAGGATTCCAAACAGTTCAGAAAGTTGCGTGCCAGGTGCAACCTGACAAAACGTTTAAGGAAAGGAGTGAGGAGCTGGCTTTGTGGTGCAACGGTTGAGCTGCCACTTTCGACACAGGCGTCCCCTATCAGAGGGCTGGTGCAAGTCCCAGCTCCTCCACTTCCCATCCAGCATCCTGCTAATGCAGCTAGGAAGAGTGGAAGATGCCCATGTGGATCCCTGCCACCCACATGGGAGACCTGGATGGAGTTCCTGGCTGTTGGGTTCATTCAGAGAGTGAAAATTCTCATTCTCTCTCTCTCCATCTCTCTCTGTAATTTTGTCTGTCAAATAAATAAATGAATCTTTAAAAAATGAAAAATGACTTCCATTTAAGAAGTACACAAAGTTTCAAAAGACAGAAATCGAATAAGGAGCGATAATTATGAAAAAACCCACAAAATAAAGCTTGGAAATAAAAATATAGTAATTGCCATTAAATGCAAAAAATAAAAGGGACATAAACTCTAGGCTAGACATGGTCAGAGAGCAGATTAGTGAACTGGAGGATGAGCCTCAAGAGTTCTCCCAGAAGGTAGCCCAGAAAACAAAAAGGTAAAATCCATGAAAGTGAGGTTAAGAAACCTGTGGACAGGTTGAAAGACACTGACATGCAACTAATGGAAGTTCTGAAAGAAACAAATAACAAGAAGTCTGAGAGAATTACCTGAAAAAATACTTGCCCAAACTTCTGAACCGAAGACACGAGTTCTCAGATTAAAAACAAACCCTGAATACTCAGCATAACGTAAAAATAAGTCCATGCCTAACTACATTATTGGGGACCTAAAATTAAGATAAAAATCCAGATGTAAAAACCACTGGATCACTTGTAAAGAACTGATAAGCAGCGAATCGGATCTCTCTGAGATTATGCCCACAGTGTGTGGGGGGAATGACTATCTGCCTGGGATTTTATAGCCAGCTAAAGTAGCATCCAGGAGACAAAGGAAATACAGGTATTTAAGACACATGAGGGCACTTCAGAAAGTTCATGGAAAATGTGAAACTGCAGGGATTCAAAACAGTTTTTCACCAAAATGTATCTGTTAGTCCCGTTTTCCACACTTTTGAAAGCACTCTCATTTGTACACTAGGAGGTTCTCTCGCACGTCCACAAGTGCACGTGTAAACTCAGGAGCTGCAGCCTTGTTCATAACAACCAAACCCTGAAGACGACCTGTGTGCCCATGAGTAGGAGAACTGATACATGATCTGTAGTGGAATCATTCAGTGGAACAGTACAGCTGTAAGGCTTTTAAACCAAAGTGTGTCTCAGCTTTTAAATACAAGGCAAACACTGAGGGGGAATGCATCACCGAGCCAGTTCCCGTCATGAGTCCTCTGTTGGCGTTGTGGCTGTGTTCCACCCAGTCTCCCTCAGAGATCTGAATGACCCTGTGGTTCCTACATGACGCAGTAGGGGCTGCTCCTGCTGCCACTGAGCAAACGGGGTGTGTGTTCTGGGAGGCTGAGCCGAGGGGGAGACTTTTAAAGGCAAAACTGGGGAAGGCGACGTCAGCGACCCGAGATGATCACCCTTGGCCCCCAGGATCAGGAACAAGTGTGGCGCCGGTCCAGGGTGGCACAGGTGTGGGCAGACGTCCCTGCATGTGGTGGCGGTGGCTGTGGTGAAGGTGTGGTGCCGGCCGTCTCCTGCGGTAGTTCCTGTTGTTAGGACGTCATCTGTGAGGACCCTCCCTTCACAACCGCTCAGCCTTGCTGACGTGCTCGTCCTGAGGTCGGCACGGACGGCGTTCAACACGCCTGAGATGGCCAAGCGTAAGGGCTGCTCGCCCCTCCATCCTAGCGGGCTTTTCTCGTTCTTACGGAAGCTGCGGTGAATTCAAGTGCCTCTCACCTTCCCCTCTCTTCTGTTTCAGGACTGGTATGCAAGGACCCCTCTAGGCAAGAGGCGAGCCCTGGCATTAATGGGAGGCACAGAAAAGGAAACGGAAAAGGAAAAAGAAAAGGAGAAAAAGCAGAAAAAGAAGAAGTAGCGCCTGTCTGAGAAGCAGCCCTCGAGTCTCTCTCAGAAACGGAGAGGGCCCCAGCCGTCCCAGGAGAAGTTCCCACCCCTGCCCGTCGGAAGATGGCCCCGGGACTGCGCAGTGACCACAGGGGCCCGCGCTCTCCAGCCACGGTGCTCGGCTCTGCCTGGAGTAGGCTGGCCCCCGCGTTAGGTCTGCAGGACACTGTCTTCTGTGACAACAGCAGTGGTCCCTCGATGATCAGACAGTTCGCATAGGAGCGAATTCCCCTGCCTGAGCTCCACGCCTTGCCGACCGGTCGCTGCACCTTCCCCGCTCTGCTGTCCGATTTCCAGCGTGGTAGTCGGGAGCCTTCCAGTGTGGCCGCCGGGAAGCCGCGCCAACGGCACCCGTGCACCCGTCTTCACTCGTGCACGGGCGCTGTGTATCCCCTTGCACCTTCGTATTTTAACAAATTAACCCTTTATTCTAGAAACGTCATTCATGTAGCAGAATAAAGCCATTGCTTTGAAGTGACTCTGTAATTTGACGACCAGGTCTTAGCAGGGCCCTGTTTCTGCCTCCTGATTTCGAAGGTGAGGTCGCACCACTAATAGTCGCTAATAGTTGGAGCTGGGACTGGAGCGGCGGCGCCAGGGCAGAGCTCGTTAGAAGCGTCACACGTTGGCAGTGACGAAAACCGAGACAGAAAGACCAAGGGCAAATGTGGAGAAAGAAAAAGCAAGACCAGAAAGACATAAGGAATAGAAAAGTAAAGGTCGAGAGAGAATTTTTAATTCTGTGAGGACACGAGCAGTGACTTGGTAGAAGGCAGATGAATCCCACTGCTGAACCTGGTAGACCTCACACGGTGGGAGGTGCCGCTGAGTGAGTTTCCAGTTGTGCCTCACGTAATTTAAATTTAAATAGCCACGTGGGGCCGATGAGGCGCGTCTACTGGGCAGCAAAGCGTTAGAGCAATGTGAGTATTAAAAACAGGTAGCAAACAGCCTAAATACCCTGCAGCGTGCCCGCTGCTCTCTCCCGGCACACACGCGTGGACACGGGATTCCCGTGGCCGCTGCATTCTCCCAGACGCCAACTCCCTACCCTTCCTAACTCTGCATCTACACTCTGGGGCCCGGGAACCTGGAGCCTTTGAAACCTGGGCCAGCATCCGCCAGCCCCTCCTCTTCAGATCCCAGCACCACAGCTCCGCCTCCCCCCTGTGGGGCTCCGCCTCTTTTCCCAGGTGCACACCGATGGGCCCCGTGTGTGTCCTGCACGCAGCCCAGGCTGGTACACGCTGATGCCTGCAGCACAGCCTCCTGGTCTTTGTGTGAGGCGTCTAGGGAGCAGGGGTGTAGACGTGGACATCCGTTCATGCACAGGTACGCCCCGCTTTCACACGCGTGGTCACGTGCCATCCACACAGTTTGACTTCTTTGCTCTTCGCCTGATACTGTATCTCAGATACTGTGTCTTACCAACGTATACAGATCAGCCGTGTAGTTCATCCCCTACCAGCACCCCCTTGGGGGTGTAACAAGTTATCGAGCCGTCCCACTCTGGGGAACCTGTTTAAGCCGTTTCTATCCTTTCGCTGTTCCATGCATGCTGTAGTCAATGCCTGCAGATACTTGTCTCAGGCGTGTCCAAGAAAGACCTGCAAGAGAAAGTTCTAGAAGAGAATCAGTGGGCCATGCCACCTGTGCATTTTTCCTCCAGGTGGCCATTTCCAGACTGCGCTCCCTAGTGGCGCCCCCCCCCAGCCATGCTCCCTAGAGGCACGTGCCCCCCCAGCCACGCAAGGGATGCCCTGCTTGGTCCTGCACCGTGTGCCCGTCTCTCCTGCTCTGGTCCACAGAGCAGCAGTCCCCAACCTCGGGAGCCCGACAGCAGCCCAGGGGATGAAAGCCCCAGGTCCCCCGGCAGTGCCAGGGGCTGCCGCCACACCTGCGCCTCCCGTGTGTGGCCATCGTGGAGACAGGAGACGGAGCAGGCCTCTGTGTCCTGGGTGAAGAGGTGGCTGGATGGATTAGAGAGGGGACTGCAGGTTCTTCAGGGCTCGGCCGGGCCCCAGCTGTTCCTGGGCCGTTCTGTGGCGACTAGCCGCTCTTGGGCTTGTTCTTAAGTGAAGGGGACAGTAATTAACATCATTAACCCTCATTAAGGGAGCAGTGCACTGCAACGGAATCTGATTGAAGTGGAATCGAAGCTCTCGGGTGTAGTGCTCAGAGCCTGGCACTTAACGATAAGTATGGCCCTGCTCCCCAGGGTCTCCCCGAAGACCACTTCTGAGAGTGCAGGGCCTCGGCAAACACCCCTGCTCCCAAACAGCAGGTGTGGGATCGTCCCCCACACGCAGCTGCCCTTCCTTCAAGGCAGTGGTTGTGGTGGAGACACTGGGCCATTTCACGAGAGTGATGCTATTCGTAGCCACTAACTGTGGAACCCACGGAAGCCAAGCCACTGAGGCGGGCTAGTGATGAAAGCTCTAAGATTTTGCTGGGAGGGAGGCATGGGAGGATCTAACCAAAGCAGAGAAAGTAACAAAAGATTCCGGGTTGGAAACAAAACCGGCAGCTCCCTGGACAACACGATTGCAAAATGAAAAGGACTCTGGCCCAGTGTCTGTGCCTCAGACCTCCCAGAATCTCCACCCCCAGGGTCGCAGGGTGGCCTTCGCGATCCATCGGAACTCACAGGGGCAGCCAGCGAGGCTGGAGAGCTTGTCCGCCAAGCCTTGCAGCGAGACTCGGGGAAGGAGCGGTGTCAAAATGAGGCTGGAGCCGCCTGCGCCTGCCCTAACAGGTGAAGCTGGGGGCTGGGACGGGAGGAATCCTGCATGTGACTGCCTGCCAGGCGTCGTCACAGAAGTCCACCAGAGCCCCAGCCTCGCCGAGGCCACTGCGGCCATGGAGGAAGTGACCGAGTCAAGGCCACCACCCCCCCACCAGCTGCTCAACCTCGCACTAGCATCCCGCTGGCCGTGCACCCCTGGGGCCAAGGATTGCTGTTTCAGTGGGGACAGGTGCCTCCCTCCTCCCTCTCCCTCCTCCCTCTCCCTCCTCCTTCTCTCCTCTCTTCTTTCTTCTATTTTTTTTTTCAGTAAATTTCCTTTGCTTTGCCCACTCTTCCTTGTCCATGCCCCTAATTCTTCATGGTCACAAGACACGACCCCCAGCAATTAGAACCGCCAACTCCAGCGACAACGCCAGAATCCCGTATGGGTGTGCCTGGCCGAGTCCTGGCTTCTCCGCATCCAGCCCGACTTCTGAGAATGCACTGAGGGAGGCAGCAGGACACGGCCCAGCTGTCACAGGGTGTCCCCTGCACCCATGGGGGAGACCGGATGCAGTTCTTCGCTCCTGACTTCGGCCTGGCCACGCTCTGGCTGTCGTGGCCATTTGCCAGTGAACCAACAGACGGAAGATCCGCTGTGTCTTTCAGAGAAATAAATGAATCCCTCTGCCATCAGCAGGCGCTTGCTGCCTCAGAGCTGTCAGCGAGTGGGCCTGGGAGAGGTCAGTGGGACCCCCAGAGCCGGGGGGGAGGGAATGGCCCCTCCACCTCCCGCTGGCCTTGTCATCAGAGAACAGCCTCATTGCCCAAGGTGTTTAGCCCAGTCCCTCAGCACGGCGCACGCAGTACCTCTGTCTTGCCTCTGGCCAAGGGATTAAGCACCCAGAAGCGGTCTGCCATCAGCTCTAACGCAGAGCAAGGGCTATGAGTGACCCACACTGCAGCCCAGCCCAGCCCAGCCCTCACCCTGTTGGCTCTGCACACGCAGCACACGAGTGGGCACACCCTTGGCCTCTGCCTCACGGGGCTTCTGGGAGGTGTGGATGGCTTCCAGTGTGCTTAGCGCCACGCCAGGCACCAGGTGAGTGCCTCGAGCTGGCCACCTGCTGGCCACTTATTTCTGAGCGCCCGAGGTCGGCCCTGGCCAGCAGAGCTGGAGCTTTGAGGAAGTCTCTGCCTTCGTGAAGTGCAAACGCAGCACTAACAGCCCACGGGCGGGCAGAGGGAGACAGCGCCCGCCTGTCCCAGGCCACATAGCACACACATAGGCCGAAAACGCAGATACACACTGCGTACACACATCCTACACCTACAAACACATATACATCCCACGTGTACATCTTCACTCACATGCACACATTACCATGTGTGTAGTTACACATGCACATGTTCACCCAGTGTGCATATACGTGTACACATTGACACATGTGTGCACGTACATGTGTGCACATGCAAACACACCCTCACCCCCATGTACGTGTTCACTCGCATACACACAGAAACGCATGCACACACCCACAGTCCCACTGAGCCCACGGTGGGTGCCTGTGGCCCGTGCATCCCTGAGCCCCAGGCCTCCCACTGCGGGGAGCCCTGGCTGCAAGTCCAGGAAATGCCCAGGCAGGTGCTGTGGGAGGGGCCTGAACACCGAGAGCCGCGTGCCAGATCCCACTTCCTGTTCCTGTGGGCTGCAGCGGGAGAAGCCGAGGCAGGCGCAGTGGCTCGCAGCTGCACCTCCAGCAGAGACGGGCAGGACAGGCCACGGCTGCAGCGCAGGAGGGCACCACAGGAGAGCCACCGTGCCGCCATGCAGCCTGCTTTATGGAACTTCCAAGCCAGGGTGCCTCTGCCCTGAGAGATCTCGAGACCATGAACTCAACTCAGGGCAGCAGGCTTGCGGCTGAACACCCGGTGGGCTGCAGCCGTCCTGGGGGACCCCAGGGAGCCATGTTCGCTTTCTCACCGTGAACGACCTGGGGTGAGCTTCATATGTGTCCTTCTGGCTCTGAGTTCCCATTGTCCTGAGGACTGAAGCATCCCCAGCACAGGGGTCAGTAAACCCTTAACCTGTGCTGGTCCCCGGGGCGTGACCAGGCCACCCCTCCCCCAGACAGCAGGGCTTCAGACACACCCTTGAGCAGGTACCCCAAGTGCCACGTGCAGTCCACTGCAGGCCACGGAACACCCAGCACAGACAAGCAAGGGCAGGAGAGTGCTGAGGTCTCTATCCTGACAGGTGCACGGCGAAGCGCTTCTGAGAAACGTGGACAGCAAGAGGGCAGAGCTCGGGTGCCCACCACGCCAGGAGCCTGAACGCCCCGGCTTGGACTAAGCCCCAGCGTCGCAGTGTTTGAGCCGGAGTGTTCTCTGGCCACACTGCCTTTGTCTCCGAGAGCAGGGACCACGCTTGCCCTGATCTTTGCCGGCTGCCCACGAGCCATCTGGAGGCCGCTCCGGCCCCCAGGAGAGGCACTGCTTCTGCTCCCTGCTGTTGGCTGCTTGCGCGGTCTAAGCTGTCTCCACTGCAGTCCCGCCAGCCTGCGTTAGGTTGTCTGAGCCTTTACCGCCTCCCGACCTGGGGCGTGGCCACCTGCTCTCCGTCCCCTGCCACCAAGCTGCACCTGAACGTGAGCCCCACCGCAGAGCACAGCGCTGCCCCCTGCCGCTGCCTTTGTGTCCCCAGAGCCTGGAGCAGGTGTTAACCACTGGACGGATAACACACAAGAAA